TGCAACCAAAAGCAGCACCTTAAACCATGCCAAGTCTGGGATGTCCATATTTGGGTTGTTGGAGAAGAGGGAGTGCAAAAGGTATGTGGAGGAATAATGAACGGTGTTTCTAGACAAATCAGGAAGAAATGTATATATTGGAACCAACCGTTGTCACCTAAATTATGGACAAAGGCAACATTGGGTTTAGATCATGTATTATTGGCTTCATTTCCCAACCAGAGTGATTGAAAACACACCTCGATGATCCAGGTTTTGGCGGCAAATTGGTGTTCTCGCAGCCACATGCCTAGTTACAGCTCTTGGGTGTTCGCATTTATGATACTACTTATCAACGCCAGTAGTCAAAAAATTAAATAAACTTTTTATGATAATGATTATGCAAATATCACATCACTACTTATGGAGGTAAATTCGTTGCATTTGAACATGACCAAGTGAATAATATAACAGGCAAATATGAAACTAAATATCAACGCACCATTAATAGTATAGAAAATGAAAACAATGTTTATGACATCACCAGTTATGAAGGTAATCTGAATTTAACATCAGCAAGTAAATAATTTCATCTTCTCAAATATGACACTAAATATCAACGCACCATTAACAGTAAAGAAAATGAAAACAGTGTTTATGACATCACCAGTTATGAAGGTAATCTGAATTTAACATGAGAAAGTAAACAATTTCATCTTCTCAAATATGATACTAAATATAAACTCAGATCACCAGTAAAGAAAAAGAAAAATGTGTTTATGGTACTTATGATGCAAATATCACATCACAAGTTGTGAAGGTAACTTACATTTGAACATGACCAAGTAAATAGTTTCATCTTGGCAAATATGATACTAAATACGAATACTAAAGAAAATTAAAATATTGTTTATGACACAAATAATGCAAATATGATATCACCAGTTCTCAAGGTAACTAAAGTTCCAACTCCCCACTCGAAGTCAACATTAACATTTTGCCAGGTAAAATGAAAATGGGGACTGTTCTATACATACCAATGTAAGAGTATATTACCTCCCATTGCACCACCACTTGCTCCAAACAAGCCGAAACTCAAAATGGGTTCCCCTACAAAAATCCCCCCCAGACTTATAACAACTCTAGCAAAAAATGCAGAGCCTTTGTCCCAAAGGAATATTAAAGCTGAAGATGTTGCTGATGGAGTTGCAAAATCCATAAATTTTTCATCTGGGGACCACGATGATGCAGCTTGGATCGGCAAGATGCGGTATGATGCGTTGATCATGGAAATTAAACGCTTGAAGATACGTCTAAGATGGTATCAAGAAACATTGGGGAAGGAGAAAAATAAAGTGAAATTCCACCTTCGATCAATCCAAATAATGAAAGTGAGGGTTAGGCTTGTGAAAGGATAAGGTTTTCGAAGGTTTAGTACTTCGAATGAGTCTGTGCAGATGAGGGAAGGAAAAGCATGCAAAGGGTTTGACCTGTTCCGCGAGTTTGCAAGATGTGTTGTCCTAAGCTACAACTGGGACGGGATCTCCATGGAGTAAACCATCGCTGGAGAAAGTTAAATTTGGGGTTTTGCAGTATTTTGTTTGTAACAAATGTGTGGTTCATTTTGAGTACTTTTTTTGGCATTTTGTGTGGGCTCCTGAAAGTGTAAAAACTCTGGTTTGAAGTGTTCATACTTCTTAGGTAATGTATCCAAACTGTAAGATGTGAAGGAAAACTGTAAACAAATGGGGAAACTGTTTTGGGTTTATTAAGCGTACTTTTGTCTACATAAATTGTTGTGCTTTTATGAAGTTTGTTTATATTATTTTATGTGAACATATTTCTTTGTGTTATTGTATAACGCCTAAAAGGCATGGAATAGAAACAACAGAGGTGGATTTGTTGATAATCCAAGTATTTATGTTGCATAGTAATCAAGTAATGGAGGGTTGGCTTTATCTCGTTCGTGTAGG